TGTATAAACATAAATATTCATGAACATGTATTATTACATACAAAATATGTCCATACATCTCTTTTTCTTTTGTAATATTACTTTTTATAATAAAAATAATAATAGTAATGTGAAAACATTAAAAATAATTAAAGGGATTTTTGCATTGTTCGTTTTAGAAAAAAATAAGTTCCCAAAAATTAAAAAAGAAATTGTTCATACACAATTATGCATAATTTTCTAAAATTATACATAAATAATTTTGTTACATTTCTTTAACTTTTATTTTTCTTTTTTCTAAAACAAATAGCATGAAAATTGTCCTTTCAATTATTATTAATGTTTTCACTACTATTTACACTAAAAAATAATTTTACAAAAAAAAAGGCATATTTCATGTATGATTATACATGTTTATGAATATTTATGTGTGTTTATACATATTTATACATAACAATTCATGCATGAAAAATTGTTTACCGGGTTGTTTGCATTGTGTCCGGGTTTTACTCGTAAACAAGAATTACCTAAGGGAGAGAATATAAAGAACGCAGCACTTTGTCTGTGAAATGAATCCCAAAATTGAATTTCAAGGTGGAAATACGAGTACATTAATGCCCGTTTCCACCAATGTAGATTAAATTTTAATCTCGGTTCAACTTACTCTTCATCTTTTTCTAGTTCTAAAGATTACAAAAGACGAAGAGTAAGTTAAACCGAAATTAAAGTTAACATTGGTGGAAATGAGCATAAATGTGTTTTCCAAAGTAAAATTTTGTTTAACAACTGATTCAAGTACGACTTGACTTCAAATTTGAAAAAAAATTAAAATTTTGCGAAATATATATAAAACATTCTTGAAATATACATACTGTGTTATATTACAGTTATCTTGTTGAGCTGACATTTCATATTACATATACGTTACATGTAACATTGTGTTTACTGGGATGTTCATATATATAATATTTTTCCCGGGTAATTCGTTATGTTTTTTAGTTGACATGAATTGTTGCTGATGTACGATAAATGTATAATAAATTACCTTTAAGTGAAAATAAATAGATAAAATAACTATTTTATAAATTTTTAAATAGGTGACACTATTTTCATGATATAGTACAATAATTCATTGTGGCAATTATTTAAAATATACTCATTCCACGCGTTTTCACTCAAAATGAAAGAATCTGACAGAAAAACGCGGCGATCGGCCTTGTGAATCCTTACCATCTTATAATTATCTATTTTCTAAATAAATATTTTAAAATATAGCGAAACTAAAATAATCCCAACAATTCGCAGTATAAAACATGTAGTTTATTATTATAAATAGCATGGTTCATTATGTACACACCCCTTGTATACGAGTACAATGAATCATTTCCCATTTTTTGAAATAATCAAAATTGTGACTAAACTTAAAAAATAATTTAAAGATTATTGCTTACTGTATATATCCAACTAAATTCATAAACTGTATGCCAAAACTGAGATCTTCAACTCAATAATTGAGAGAGATCTATTGTGTGATTCAGCAAAAATAGCAGGACAAAAATTACCATTATGGAGGAGACCAGGCTTCGATTCGATTATTTCTTACACTTTTATTAAAATTTAGGTGAGAGCAGAGACCATATTTTAAATAATTACCACAATGAATTATTATTTTGAAAGTTATCGTAAAAAAGTTACTTAATCTTAGATTATCTAATCTTAGATTATCTACAGTAATCCATGATTCATTGTTCACTACGTTAAAATGATTCATTGTAGACTACCTAACCTTTTCCACGATAATCTCCAAAATAATGTAGGAAAATAATACAACAGAAAAAAGTTGCTTACTCAATAATAAAATCTAATCTGCATACAAAATTAACAATGAAAAAAATGATAGGTATAACAACAAAAACATAAAAAATGCGTAAAACTTACTAAAAATACTTACTTTACAACCCAAAATTCTTAGAATATAATATTACATGGCCATCCTTGGCACGATCTACCAATCGACTGGGGAGCCGAGAAAGGATTCAAATGTGAATCGCTGCATGATATAGCACAATCTGAGCTACATTTCAAAACTTCCTCTCCAAGTAAAATTTTACTCAGAATATATAGTACACGTAACGTATACTATAGAATATAGAGTAAATCTTCCTCGGAGAGGAAGTTTTGGAATGTAGCCCAGATTGTGCTATCACGTAGCCCTGACAAAGTCGCATTTACGAAATATCGCAATGGTTCATAATGTACTAATGCATAAATACGTCTACTAAACTAATAAATCATAAAATTAGTACAAATTATCAATTTTTAACTTTTAATTACTTCAATATTCGCAAGAACGCGAACTCCCGTAAGGATGTCTTTAATAGTATCTGTGATTATATATACGAGATAATAATACTCGTATAATAATATCCAGAGTCCGGACACAGTGAAAAATGACAATAAAATCGATGTCGAATCGCCATCTATTCGACGTTGATTTGATGATTCCGGCATCGAATCGACATCGATTCAATGTCGACTCCATTATCATTTCTCACAGGGGATTATCCGCCGACCGATTCGAGTCGATCGTAGCGCATTTTTCATGATTCTCACTGCCACTCGCCAAAATCCGTAGTGAGCGACCGGCGGAGCGACAACGTTACAGCGTTAAGAGATGAGATGTAGTGGGGGCACTTAGCTATGGTGCTACTAGAGAGAATTAAGGGAGAATGGAGCAGATAGCATTCTCTTCTCTGATTGTGACTCCGCCTGACTAGTTTACATTTATATTAAATATATATAATCATCATCACCATATGAAATTATGAATAATCAAATATAATCATATATAAGTTATACATAATAATACATATTATTATATATACATAATAATATATATTATACATGACCACGTGTAAAATTTGTTTACTGGGATATAATCTTTATTCAAAATATTCTTCTATATCTATTTTATTTTTAAACATTTTAATAGTAACAAGAATTACTTCTATTAAAATTTACTTACTTGAAATGAAATTGAAAGAATATTGTAATATTCAATAATATGTTCCTTCTGACGATATTCTAAATAATTTTCAGACAAAAGAGCAGCAAAGTACTGACTCTTGCTGATTAATTTTTGCTTATCAACTTCAAATCTTTTCTTTTTTAGAATCAATATCACTGTATCACGCGGTTTCTCAATTTCCTGGCTCTTATTTTCCATTCTAAAATCAATACGATAAATATACTTATCTTTAAAAAAAACTTTTACGAAAAAGTACAGAAAAACTATGTAGATTAAGAAAAGAGCTTAAAAATTCTTAAATTTTTGTAGATATTCGTAGAGTGGAGTTGTTTAAGAGCGGAAAATTTCTTGGTTTTTCAAACAACGCCACTCTACGTACCATTATAAATATTTATTAAAAAACTACGAATTTCTAAGATATTATCTCAAGCTATGTAGTTGTTCATAAAAAATTTTCAAAAGGGTACTAAACATATAAACATATAAATTATTAGCGCTACTCACTTTTATTCAAGATTTTTCACTCGACACGTGGCTTCAGTATGTGTACACTTTCTCGAGTCTTTATCACAATTGAGTTAAAATGGTCAGCACGAGGCAAGGTCGGTGTGAAAACTGACCTGCACATTAGGGTTCGGAAAATATTCTAGATATTGTATCTAGTGTCGATACAAAAAGATACTGGTCTATGTATCGATATTTATCGATACTTCCCCAAAACTTCTGGTTTTATTTACAATTTCCTTACAATAAATTTACATTAAAATATGTATTATATATTTATTTTTATCACAAGATATATATTTCTGTGTAGACAATTTTATCTTTTAAGTTTTATCATTAAGGGTGTAATCGAGTTGCCACTACGGATGCTTCAAAGCATTTGATTAACCAATTGGAAGAAAGAATCTTACTAACTGACCAATCAAAAAATGCTTCGAAGCGTTCGTAGTGGCAATTTGTTCGCACCCTAAATTACAAAAATAAAAAGGTTTTTAAATAGAATTTAAAAACAAACAGAAATTAATTAATCTGCTTATCTGATAATATCATAAGAAGGAAACAAATAATATTTTATAACTATTTTACTAGTTCTATCTACCAGTCTTTCTAAATAACATATAAAATATATTGTGGGGTCTATCTATAATAGAAGTCATAGCGGTTATTGAGAGAATCCTAAAAAGGATCCCTAAAGTGAATCCTGAAGCTCGAACCGTGATGAAATCGCTGTTTTACCGATAAAATGCTACACAGCGATATATCTTTATATGAATACTACTACATCAATATGCACGTATAAATTTTCTAACTAATCGTTCGTATTAAGTATCTAAACCTAATTCTAAGTACTAAACATTAATTGTAATCTCTAGTCCAAACCAAGAATGTTTTATGCGTACAAAGTATAAAACTTGTACATATATAAAGCAAACTGTTACGAGTCGACGTTCAAAGTCGGTAACAAAACTAATAATTTTCGAACTTTTTTTCGTTTTTGGCATAAAATCGACCGGTTTAGACTGTACTATCGTTTATATATTAATGGAGAAGGATTTTTTATTCTGTAAAGGCAATTAGAAAAATACTTGTTTGGAAAAATTGGTAAAACAGATTTACTTTAGGATCTCCTTAAGTTGTAGAAAACTAACCAATCACATGAATCTATATTCATTGACTCGAGTTCCAAGCTCTTTCTTTTGTCTTTTCCACATATAAAACATTGTAATCATTACAACTTATTTTATAAACCACATTTTAAATGGAAAATTTGTTCCATTTATCTTTATGTACTTTAATAAAAAACATCAATTTGTTTAAGCATCTATATTCTCTTGTAATGGTGGATTTTATTAATAAAGGACATGACAGTATTTGTTACACACACACACGCGCGCGCGCGTGCGCACATACACACACACACACACACACACACATTTGGTAAAAATGAAAAATAAATTTTTTTTATTTTACTGAAAATCAATAATTATTATACATATAAAAATAAATAAATATATAAATGCTATACAATTTAAAAAAATATATAACATTAAATTATTCTTTAGCATTTTTTCAATACTTGAGTATTGAATGCCCGGTCAAAATTTATTATGCAATTACTAAAATATGCTTTGCTTATAAAAAAAAATGTTTTCGTGCTCGCGACTTACATATGAGAAATCTGTTTTCACTTTTTAGTAACAACCGCATATTTTGATTCCTCCACTTCAACAATTCTCTCTATAAGTATGAAGAGCGATGATTGTGCTCAAGAGATATAAAGCCGTATTTATCAGACCGCAAATTTAGATAACAATTAAAGTAATATTTATATAATAGTGGTATTTATACATAAGATCTGCATAAGTAATTGCATAAGTAATCTGCACAAGTAATGTTTATTTAAACAGGTCAGATCTAATAAATCACCTTTTACGATTTTGATATTCTTGCTAAAAAAAAAATTTACTAAAAATTGACAAAAATGATTAAAATTCTTTAGATAAAATATGATTCATTAGACATTTTGTCAAATAACATTTATATCGTAAGGTATCTAAAAAACATCTTTTAGACCTATGTCTTAAAGGTCTCTAAAAGACATGCGTGTCTGGGTTGTAACACAATTATTGTACATACAGATTAATAGAAACGACATGTAACGCCATTATTACTACCGTTATCGTTACTTTTTATAATAACGTTTAATAATAATAATTTTTATAACAATAATGTCATGGTTGGAATTTTATGCGTTATGTAACAAGTAAATTAACGAGTTACTTTTTTCAATGAGAAACGCATAATAGTAAAACAAGTTATTTTCAAAAGCGACTATCCCAATCCTGGTGTCATAAAAAAACATAATGTCATAACCAAACCATTATTATAAAAAAATAACAGTAACAGTAATGGTTATACGTAACGCGGTACTTGCCATTTTTGTAAATTAATTATCCAAATTAAATAACATTGTAATTATTAAATAACATTATAATTCTATATTTTATAACATTGTATATATGGAAGCACCAAATAACAGCTCATAACCTCTGGAACGTTTACTATTATTATGAATGTTTACCAAGAGTGTCAATGAGGCCGCAAGTATCAATCCAAATGCAACAGCATGATAAAGAAGTTCCTAAAAGTATCAAAAATTATATTAATCAACATATCGTTTAAATTATTATGGAAATATCTTTTCTTAATTCTCACGTTTTTAATATTATTTAAATAAATTTTGACATTTAAAAATATTTTTCTTACAGCTTATAAAAAAAAGCATATTTACTTACAAGTGAAATGCAAATAAAATGCAGACAACAGATTATGTAAATTATATTTAAAAATTTAAATTATGTATAATTTGAATTATATAAAATATAATTACAATTTTACATTTTTTATTGTTGTACTTACATAGAGTCTTCGGTATAGTATTTGCAGTATAGAGAGATGCCAGACAACTGAGAAGAACGATGAAAGTGCTAATCATGAAAGTAGTCATTATCAGAAGAAAGAAAAGCTCTGCAATATTTCGAGAAATTATACTGTTACTAAATTCGTAACCAACAATTCCTATGCAAACTATGCCCAGTGCCTATTAGTAAAAAAATATGAAAATATTTCAGATTAGACACAGATATAATTTTCTTACATAAAAATTAATTGATAAAAATGTATATATGTATAGTTGTATATAATTTTATATGATACTGCATAACGCTTATACAATAATTATACATATAAATTTCTGATTACATATTTATATATCATAATAATTCGCATATGTATATTCATTCATATATGTATATGTACATGACTTCTTATAGTTTAAATATAATTTTTTTAATCATATATAAGGCATCTATCATAGCTTATCATACGTATTTATGTACATATAAAAGGTAATACTTTATTTTAACAACGTATACATTTATAATATTTTATTTTTTAGGAAGTTTTAATTATAAAACAATGGTAACATATAAACCGATCAAACTAATTTTTTTTATTGTAAGGATGTACTTACTTTAGTAACATATATTGATTTTGTATACGTTTCTTAAACGGTTGTAGAACATTAAATACATAAATTTTGCATTAATATCATTATAATATCTTTTGGTTTAATTTGATTCCATTAACTTCTTAAAATGATCGTAATAAAGGTCAAAACGTTGTCTATGAATTAATTTATGAATTTATATTCTCCGCCAGTAACGTTGAATTTTAAAAGTACAGTCGATTTTTTATTGTGAATTCTGACAAATAAATTGAAATTTATAAAAAATATAATCTAACTTCTATGATAGTAAAACTTGTTGTTGAAACTTTCACAGTATGTAAGATTTACATTTTTCAGATTTTTATACAGTGCGAAACAACATAAAAATCTGTATTGAAATTCGAAGACCAGTCACGGACAAAGAGTAAAAATTTTCATTGCCGACGCTTAATATAAATATAACATTTATTAGCACAAAAAATCTGCTTGATCTATTTAATTTCTTTTAAAGTACAATTTATGTAGTAATTTATTAAAATATTGTTCTATTTTAATGAAAAATTAATGCTACTATCCATAATTAATTTTAAAAAACTGTTTTGCATTAAAAATAATATGAATGCTTGAAGTAATTAAGAAATATATTAATAATGACTTAAGTAAAGAATATTAAATATATTAAGAATATTAAATATATGAAATAATAATGAGGCGCATACCAATTGTAACATCTTTAAAATACAATTCCAACTTTTCAAATAACCGGTATTGACGACAATCGCAGAAGACAATCGATCTACTCACCGCTATTTGCGATCTAATCGTCATTGAACAAGACATCTTTTACTGATTTTAATGTCAGTTCTGAAATCAAAGATAATTGTGTTCTCCATTTCCTATCGTTATTTATAAAGATTCCATTTAATATGCGTAAGCGGGAACATTTACTTGTGTCAAATAGAACAGGGTTAAGATTTTGAGATGTGACCTACATTGAGAGAAAATCCTCACAATTTTTT